TTTATTTCCCCCAAACATATTTATGTAGCTAAAATTAGTTTTAACTAATGTTAAAAGTTAAAACTAGTTTTATCTAAAGTCAAAACATGTACAGCAGTAAATTAACTAGACAAAACCGGTTTTGTCTAGTTAAAACTAGAATTTACTGCTAGTCAAAAATGAATTTGAGTTAAAACTAGTTTCAACTAGACAAAATGGGTTTTAACAAAGACATTCAGTATAAACTAGTTTCAACTAGACAAAATGGGTTTTAACAAAGACATTCAGTATAAACTAGTTTCAACTAGTTAAAACACATTATAACTAAAAACGGGTTTTGACTGTAACATATATATATCATAATCATCAGACAGAATCATTGTACAAAACAACCTCTCACATAATATATAAATTTTCTTTTTAAAACAATGTTTAGATTGTGCTTTATTTATTATTCAGAAATGACAAATCAAGATGCATTAATTTTTTGATTAATCAATAATGAAATTACATATATATATAGTGTGTTCCAGGATAATTTGATCAAATGTCTTCCTCTTTCAAAAGCTATAAATTATTTGATAATGTCATTTGAAGGCTACAGATTTAAAATACTGTATAATGAGAAAACAAAGTTTTTTTTTGCAAAAGTTTATATAATATAATTACTAACTTTTAACTCTGATTAATGAAATTAATTTTTCTCCAGTTACAGATTTAATCATCATCATTAATTACTAATAAAAAAATAAATACAACACTAAATAGATAGAACTGATCAAAAATTGCATTATAAAGTTACAACTCTAAATATGTAGCATGCTTATCCTTCCTAGATATTTACTATAAAGTCAATTTAAATTATATGTAGAAAGTTGATTAACAGGCTAAATGAATCCATGTAAATTAATGTTACATTAACATAGAGTATAGATTATCGATGCAAACAAATAAACAGTTTTGATTTGTTGATAAGTGCTATTAGTTTGTGATTTAACTTTCTAAACAGATACAGTACTTCATTCTGTACTGTACAATAAGTATATATATATACAAGTAGAGTTAATGAATTATAATTTTGACCATAACAGTTTATTTTGACAGTTTTGGAACTTTTCCTGTTTTGCATTAAATAGATGATCAATAAAGTTACCAAAAAGAATAAGTTGGATCTGAATCAATTAAGTGTAAATAAATTAAAACAGAAAAAAGAATTTTGTTAAATTTAAATATAACAATAACATGCTTATTGGAGTTCAATGTAATATTAATAGCAAGTTTTTCTCAAATACTTTTGGACAATCAAATTCATCTTTGGAAAAGATTCTCCTCATGATGGGCTTAGTTGCCAAAAATACTTGAGAAAAACTTGTAATTAAAACAAACTCCAATAAAGTAGATTATTATAATTGTTATATTTTTAAAAGAATATCTAAGACTCCTGGGTCTGAACCCCTCATAAAAATTTGCTTAAGTTTTGGAATTGGATAGAAAGAAAATATTTAAAAGGAAAAATATTTTCACTACACTTACACTATGATGGAAACTGCTAAACAATGCAAGTCCTAAGATCAACCCCATCCAGTTAGTATCAGAATTCAGCACTGAATTAAATGTTGACGTTGACATTTTCCTATGACTTGAGTTGGTGTTGAATTTCACTTGGAAACAGGACAAGGAACCGAGACCAATCAGGGCCCTTAGTCTCGAGTTTTTTGTGTTAGAATTCCCAACATGTTAAAGGTGTCGCATGGTACCATCTCACACTCTGACATCAAATTGGTAGTCTTGAGTTATAACTCACATGCTTTATCATCTCACCATGTGAGTTCCTACTCACTTTGAGTTGAGCATGTGAGATCTCTACACGAAAGTGAAAATGGCTGACAGATATGCTATTCTAATCACAATCAAAGCATTAGAAAGAACTGAAAGATGATGTTTAAGATGGCAAAGAATTTTTTGACCACAAATAGATGTCTTCTCTTTTGCATTTCTTTTCATGTCAAGCCAGCACTAATAAAAAATTTTAATTCATAATTGATAAAATTATACACCAAATTTTTCCAAAAATAAAAAGAAGTATCTAATTCATTGAAAAAGAGAATTAAAATAATAGTAAATTATATGTATAAATTATTAAGAGCATAGACACTATATTAAGATTATTTGTTAATCAGGAGTGTTAAGTTCATTGAGCAATTTAAGAAATAGATCAAGGAAGAAAACTACATGAAGAAAGGATTAAATTAAAATACTTACTTTTTTCCATTTGACAATGGATTTTTTAGCTCCAACACATGCATTTAATTTTTCAACTAATTCTCTCCACAAATTGAATTATCTTTTTCTTGTAAATTCGTCGTCGAATTTTCTACTATTCATTTTCTTATTATTTTCTATATATGTTACTAATATTTCCTTTTGTTCTTAGCTTTCTTTTTAAATAAAATGTGGTAAATTTTAAATAAAACATTGGAGGTTTCCATTCTGCTTCTGTGTACTAAATTGCTATAAGACAAAACTAACTGTAACACGAGTAAACAAACTCACGTTGATTTGTTTACAACTTGTTACAGTTAAGTTGATTGGTCGAATCATTATAGTCACAAACCCAGATGCATTGTAAATAATCCCATCATGCTTAATGACATACATAACCAAGTGAATATGACATGATGGGTCTAACTTGAGACTACCAATTATGTGAGTCATAGTAACACAAGTGAGTTCAATAATGTCAATTCGATACAACACGAAAACTCTAGACTAAGGGCCAGGATGGATGAACAAGGACTGAATAAATAAAATCCCACATCTCAAGGACATGAGGTTTGTTTTCAATGTTCCTATTAATCAGATTTCTTTCACTACAAAATGTCTGCACAGTTCCTCTCACAAAGTTTCTTGTGTTCTTTTGCATAGATCCATTCTTGATTCTTCTTGTTCATTGTTTGGTATACAGGCACACTTTTCCCAATGGTTTCCTAGAACTCTTATGGGTGGTCCAGTCAGCATGTCAAACACATTTTATCTTGAAGGATTTCTGGTCAGATTTGTCAATGGTCAAATACACTCTGACTGCTCCATGATTTCTTTGATCAATTGAGCATTGTTAAATGTAAAAGAATCCCTGCTACCTCACTTCAGACCAAGTCGATATAGTACTTCTCTTTCGTCCAGCATGAAGTTTTCAGGGCATCGATCAATGTACGATCTATCACAAAGAACTCTCCGAAATCCAAAGAGACTGGGATTACGAACTAAACTTCCTCTGAGAAAAAAGGTATTTCTTCCTCTTGGAAAGAAGACTAACCAAGGAGTATTGTAAGCCATCAGTCTTTTCTCAATAAACAATTTATGTAATCAGGTTGGTACTGTCTCATGACCCAAAAAGCCCACATACAAAGAATATTTTCATTTGATGATCTGACCCACCAATCTCTTGACTGTTGAAGTCAAACAGTTTTAGTAATCCTTGCACTAGTACTAGTTTGTGATCCCCCAATTGCATATTCCTCACAAATATTTGGAGTTGTTTTGCATTGATTGTAAAATTTAAAATTTGCAAATAGAAATTATTAAAACTAAAGGTTTTCATTTTTTGTTTTTGCTTATTTTTATTACCAAAGCCAAACAATTGATGTAATGAATTGGGCTATTTTGGCAATTGTTTGGCTTTGATTAATAACATTGGACTTTAAGATGTTTATTTTTATTACCATATTTTAAATCCAGTATTCTCATCAAACAAAATAAGAAATACATGCATGCATACATACATACACACACATTACTACATGTTCAATGTAATGAACTCTCAAAAAACTGAATTAAATCATTCATTATATTGGATAGTTACAGTAAGAATTCACTGAATATACATAAGTAGAGGCTGTTTCCCTTGAGCAAGAGAAATTTCCACAGGCAGAACATGAACAGGGTCAGATTTCCAGACTTGCTGAGAAAACTGTGATGGTAAAAGACATTTGGTCAGCTATTCTTCTGGATCAAAAGCTAGTCTGCTATTCACCCAGCTAGTCCTAGTCAACATTGAGAAGAATGCTGTCTGTATCATCCTTTTCTTGTATATGGTTTTATATCATGTATTGCAGAATAAAGATTACAACATGTATGTGTAGTATCTATATGGATGAAGTAAAACACCAATTATCCAAGTTAACATGAACTAATACTACCTTCGATAACTGGAAATGCAGATAAAATGGACAGCCACAGAATTTCAGATTAAAAATTGTGAAAATAAGGATTTATATGATATTTATGAAAATATGATTTATATGAACCTTTCAGCTTATTTTTGATTAAGCTCATACTTTAGTGAATTTAATTATATAGACCTATAAGAACAACAATTTTCATATAATTTATTATACAGCTAATAGATACAATAGTTTTAAGAAAAAAATGATTATTACTGTACTGTAGTTACATTTTAATACGAATGAGTTATTTCGCATTGAAGTTAAATGATAGAAAATAAAAGAAACAAATCATTTTGTAATACTAGTACATGCTATCATCTTAAACTTTCCTTCATAAATTTAAAAGTAATACAATATATTTATTATGCTTACAGATTTACCTCAGATAATACAAAACCTTGAATAATCAAGGTTCAACTGTACTGATATATGTGTATCATCTATTTTATATTTGAAATCTAACACAACAATCAGAAATCACTGTCAATGGTTAATGTGATGCATTATGTACTGATGAAAAATGTTTTTGGCTATACTACTCAATAGTCACATCAGTTCAAATGAAATTTACTGGTAACAAGCCTTTAATATAAACTACTTTTTAACATTTAAAATATCTTCAAGACAACATTATGATATAGAATTAAAACAAAAAGGTTATTGTATATGTAGAATAATCTGTAAATAAAGCTACAAAACTTTATCTATTTCATGCTATTTGTATTTGTTTTTCTAACTTGCTGTCATGTAACAAAACATGATAAAACTGATTAAACATTTTTCTCTCCATAAAAAAAAATCTTAAAATTTAATTTCAAACTCCTAGAATGTTTTACAATTTAAAAATTGTGATATATTAACTAACTATTTAATAACTTTATATTTAGGTTTTAATTTATTGTTGTTAATATGAATATGTTTCAAATTTGTAATTTTAAAATCATAGATAAGTTTCTAATATTATGACACATCAAATATTTTCTACAAGTTTCAAATGCAATTAAGAACTAACTATCAGCCTCAGTAAAAAAATCATCATGACGACTATTTACTGTATATGATAACTTTCATATATGTAAAATTTCATTATAAATTCTTGTTTCTAAATATTCTACAGCAAATTATGTAGCAAGATCTAAATTTCCATAATTATACCCATAATAAAAAGATAAAGAAAGAAGGTTCATATAAAATATTATAAGATAAATTACAATCATATTTAAAAATTGCTAATTTTTATTCTTAATGCATACTCTTACAAGCAATAGTGGGGATTGAAATAATTTAACAACTGGTTTGCTGCACTAGTGATTGTTTTAAATACAAAAAACAATATTTATTAACAAGTTTATGGGCATTACAGTATTTTTTTCACCTAATGCACCATGTATATTGAAAAATATACAAAATAATAATAATAGTAGTACAGTAGAACCTCGAAAACTCGGCCTAATGTGGACCGAAAGGTGGCCGAGTTTGTGAAAATGCCGGGTTATCGGGAATGGGGTTAAAAAAAATAAGTACGAGTGTTTCCTCAGAAAATACTGTACTGTACTTGTATGTATTGTTTACTTGAGAATATAACAGAGAATAAACTGCCCAAATACCCTTAAACAAAGGAAAAGTACGTCCTTTATGAAGGCATAGAGCCTTTACTACATGAAAATGAAAATTAATGAATACACTGTGTATAGTAATTTACCTGATAAGACAGACCTCAGAAAAATACTTTATGAGAGCTTTTATACTTTTATAAAGCTGTCTATAATGAAAATTAATTAACTAAGGATTTTTTGCCCTGCCAGGGTGTGGCCGAGTTATTCGGAGTGCCGAGTTTTCGAGAGCCGAGTTTTCGAGGTTCTACTGTAGTAAAAAAATAAACTAAAAGACATAATATAACATCTTAAAATAAATACTGAAAATTGTTAGATCTCACTGCATCCACCAGCTCATGTATCCATTTGAGAACAAATGAGCATTATCCAATAATTAATTAAAAATATTTTCTAACTTTTAGCAATAGTGGGGATTGAAATAATTTAACAACTGGTTTGCTGCACTAGTGATTGTTTTAAATACAAAAAACAATATTTATTAACAAGTTTATGGGCATTACAGTATTTTTTTCACCTAATGCACCATGTATATTGAAAAATATACAAAATAATAATAATAGTAGTACAGTAGAACCTCGAAAACTCGGCCTAATGTGGACCGAAAGGTGGCCGAGTTTGTGAAAATGCCGGGTTATCGGGAATGGGGTTAAAAAAAATAAGTACGAGTGTTTCCTCAGAAAATACTGTACTGTACTTGTATGTATTGTTTACNCAATAATTAATTAAAAATATTTTCTAATATAATAAAAAGAGTGCATAAAACTTAAATATCACTGACAAAAAGAAACAATAAAACTATAATTTAAAATATTTCCATAATGCCTCTTGATTGGAGTCTTTCGTGGTTTGTTCTTATTTTACTCGAGGATCATTGGCTGTATGATTAAATCCTTACCCTCATACTAGGGACAATCCACTAATAGAAATCAATGCCTTAATATTGATATAAAAAAAACATCCTAGAAATGTATTTATTTCTTCAATTCCTGTATCCAGAAACACAGATGTTTATGCCTAGAGCTTATGGTTTTTGTTATACCCATGAAGTTGAGCATAAAACATTAGACACTTGACTGTGATAGGTATCACAGATCAATCATAGTCATGGCAGCAAGTCAGTGACAAGTTATCATGTGCACTTATTGCTCTATTGCATATCTCTTACTTATTCCACTTTAGTCTCATTGAGCTGTTAAAAAGTTGCAAATGAAGGCTTTTGCAGTAAAT